TAATGGATATTTAGTGTCGGGGGGATATACTTAATATATTTCAAAACATCAGAAGAGCAGAGATGTCTGAGTTGAAGTTCAAATTAACATCCCAGATTCCCCAAAAATCTGTTAAATTGTATCAGAAGATTGATCATGTGGTTCTGGGTCCTTTATCTGTCAGTATTTTAACAATTCCATGCTGTAACACATTTGATGATAAAAAATAAAAACTTGTTTTAGGACAGAAAAGTGGTTCTTTTTATTCACAAAGCAAATACAAAAGCTTGCATTTGAAATACATTAAAAACAGTCACCAAAAAACTGTAAAACACTGGACTGTTGATTGAAATATTTGGCAGAATTTTACTTCCAGAGTAATTTAAGGAATTCTTCAGACACGTAATTGTGATGTTGACCTCCTCTTGGAGTGTAAAAGGACACCAGCTTACTACCAATAAACTTTAAATTAACTCAACAGAACGAGTTACAGCGACATTCAGACATAATAATCACAGACTCGCTGACTGAAGTCATGGAGTACAGAGATCTCTAGATGTTCCTGAAGGCATCATTTTTGCCCTTGAAATAACTTCATAACTAACAATAAGCAAAATATTTTAAATATCAGCACAATTCATTGATTAAACAAATACTTTGTCTGGTATTTTAAAGGCTTTCCTGAAAGCTTCTTTGCGAGCAGCGCCCCCCTCAGGACAAACACGGTATGACACCACAGCAAAGCAGCCAATGAGCCACTGGAGTCATCTCAGTGGTCCAAAAATAAAAGAAACAAAAAGGAAAAAACTTCAATTAAAGTCATTTCTTGGAATTCTTGCTCACAACTTGTTTACAAATTCTCATTAAGTCCAGTCATCAACGTTTAAGATCAACCGATTCCAGTTTTCCTCTTCGTTTAAAAAAAAAAACGGAAACTGGCGTCCTGCCGGACGGTGTTATCACCGCTCCTCTGCCAGCAGCGATCGGAAGGTCTGCAGCTCCCTGATGCTCGTGGAGATCCTGGGGGGCAGATTTCAGAGTTGAACGGAGTAAAAAAAGCCATTAAAGTAGCATTACAGTGACCCCTCGCTATGTCGTGGTTCACCTTTCACTTCTCGCTGTTTCATGGATTTGCATCGTGCTTTGTGTTTTGCATTCTGATTGGCTAATATGATTGATTAATATGAACACGTGCGTAAAACAGCTTTCCAAATTTTAGTTTGCAAATTCTCCGGCAATTTCAAGCTTCTCTAAAACCCAAAATGTCGACAAAACGTTCTGCACAGACAAATAAGGCACCAAAAGGAAGAGGAAGACGCTGACTATCACAGGAAAAGTTAAACTTCTGGACATTCAATTCAATTCAGTTTTACTTCTATAGAGCCAAATCCCAACAACAGGTAACAGCAATAAGTATGACATGCTAAAGGAAGGTGGAAGCTTTGTGTCTGGGCGTAATTAATCTTCCATTCTGTGTTCTTCTCAGCAATTTGAAGCCTTCGTTTCGTATTGATGATTCAAATTATTTTACAATACAGTAGTTATTTGTAAAAAGAAAAAACTTTTATCCAGAACTTATATTTGTTAAACAAATACTTGGGCCTGTAAAAATGTTTTGATCTTTGGTTTCAATGTATTATGGAGTATTTCATTGTATAATAATTATAAAAAAAAAAAAAAGGTTACTACTTCATATGGTTCTTTTAGAGCGTAATGAGAATAGGAAGTAGGAGACTGGAGGGGGAGTTCCTCACCTCCCGAAGGCGTTGAGCAGAGAGACGATCTCCTGCCGGCTGAGCTGGAAAGCGGGCCGCTGCGGGCT